AGTTCACAGCATGGCACTCGAAGGCGAACGCGTTGACTAGAAACGAGTGGGTGTCCGATATCCCTAAGAAAAAAAATGTTCATAACGCTACCATTCAAAAGCGACAAAAATGACAGAAGATTCCGATACCGCCACCGTCAATCTATGAGAAAGTGTTATTACACCACTGAGCTTGTAATTTTGCACCAAGGTAACAAGTTGCTGTTTAAATCCAACCTGGACAAACTAGACTCTCGAGTTACCGCCTTAAGCATTTACTGTTTCCCTGTACTTGCGGTAGCGAGTACGTTGGCCGAACTGAACGAACACTGTCCACAAGGATTTCTGGGGATATTCCTCGAAAGCTGATCGAAAACGGTCAAACGATGTCTGCCAGTTCGATCTTCCGACACACGTTTGAGTGCTTCATGTATGAAAACCCCTATGAATCATTTCGTATAACCAAAAAACAGAGCGTCGCCCGCCTGCTTCAGTTTACTAAGGCTTCTGCAGTTAAGCGGTTGAAACCCAGTTTGTATAAACAGACCGAGTTTGTCGCCAGTCTGGTGGCCACATTTCTCTTGGTGGAGTGCCGGCCAGCATCAGAAGAACTTTGACCGTAGCCCACTTTGATGGTGAAGTCTCGGCCGGGTCGTATACATTGATCATACAGCAAATCACCGACCAGTATCCATGATATACGCCCAGGAACGTGTACAATTTTACCCAAGTTAGTTGGAACGGCGTGTGACATGTCTTCGCACAATCGGTAGCTCTCAATGTACTACATAATGATCGGTTAACAACACATGGTCTATCACTGCAGCGAGAACCCATCGTAATCGTAGTTTGCAGTAATTATTGCTATCTCCGAGTGAACCTTCGCAGAGCGAGAGACAATTCCAACTGAAAGAAAGGATGTAACCTACTCGGGGTGGCCCCACATTGTTTTTAAGGAAAAACATCGGTGAACGTTAAAAGAAATATATCAGTGGTTTTAAACGGGTTACAGATCGAGTAGGTGCAAAGCAAGTGTGTAGGTATTTGGTACACGCTGCACCATTTGTTGACATTGGTGCAGCATCACGCAGGCACGTGCATCTGCAACAACGTGCTCCAAGAACTGCATCCTCCATTCAGTCTTGCTCAGTACGCCATCCGGATCTCCTCGGAACATCTCGGAATATCGCCGCCTCACGGCTTGTTAAACTTAGGCCTTAATGATGCTCCAAATGCCTTCGAGTGGGTTCAGTTGCGGAGAGTACGGTGCCAGTCGTAGAAGTCTTCCTGAGCTGTAAGGCTACACTTGGAAGCTACGCTCCAGATCGGTGTGACGGGTTTGTCTCATTTGTCCATACCACTCGCCGTCCTTCTGCCTCCAAGTTCATCAATTTAAACACGTACGCCTTCCTTAGCCTTTTGCTATCCATCGTATTCATGGATTCCGGGATTGCATATAATTTCTTCATTCTAATGTGGCGACCGTCCAGGTAACGAGGGATTGTGCTAACGCTCACGTCCACCTCGAACTTCACCTTCAGTCATAACCTAAGAGCTTCCATGGTAACCGTAGGGTCCAATTCCTTTCCATTCCACCGAACAATTCATGTGACTATCTGACAGACATTTTCGACGCGACACTTTACTATCTTTCTTGTGGGCTCATTCAATTCTTATGTACTAATCCAACTTCTACATGTCTTCACATTTACCAGTTACAGAGATGCAATAACCTTTCAGTTGTTGCCGTCTTCAGGATAAGAGCCTTTACATCGGACGGATGACGAGCGGAAGTTCCTTTTTTTCCCATCGCGCGTAATGTGATCTAAAGGTTAAAAAACCATAGAAACCCAATTAAAGACAAACTTGGTAGGTGAACTCTGAGGAAGATTTTCTTTCCGCCTTGCCCGCTGCGTGCGGTTCCCGTGCAGCCAAACTGGGGGAAAGCACAAGTGACAACTCCGCTGACCAGAGACGGACTATCGGAACCGTATGGACGTTTCCACTTATAAGTCAGACGCGTGAAATCACCTTGAGGTTTCAGAACTAAACTGATGCCCCCGTATGCCAAGCGCGTGTGCTGTCCACCGTTTGGCTATCACGTTGTCCCGCTCAGGCCATTGGGCGTAATGACCTCGAAATTTTTGCACCGCTCACACATTCCACATGTAGGCACACTTACGTAAGGTCTCTCATGCGAGGTCCACGGCTGCACTGTCAGTATGATCATGCTTTAATTTAGATGGTGCTTCGATTAAATTTTATACATTACAGACGAAATCTGATGAGTAAAATATTAAACAGTTGAAGGCTGAAATCTATCGAGAAATTGGGTAGAAGCTGCTCGGTTTGTACAATGTCTTTTCTTACGAACCTTTTGTCGGTTGCGTCCAGCAGGATTCCGACACATTTTTCTTACCAGTGAATTGTTTAACTGATCTATATAATGCAGCAATTTTCCAGGATTATTTAACACCTAAAATAACACATCAAATTTTTATAAATACTAATGGATATTTACGTCAATGTCGCCAGGCGATGAGGACTTATTAGCTGACTGAATTTAAAAGTATTTTGTCTTCCCTGGCAATTATGATAGGCGGCTGTGTTACTCAGTTGTGGGTGGTGGTTGAGCTAATTCTATGAACTAAGAGAACCTGTGCATTATAATTTCTTTACCAATTCCTGGTTGCCTATTTATCAGTCGTCAGAAGTCTGTCACTACGTGTCGCTGTTAACCTTCATACCCTCCACCACGAAGAGTTCAATCACCTTCGAATGACGTGGTGCAGCTTACTGTTTGGTGTGTTCTACACTTAACATTTCACCACGTCGGATACGGACTCAACGGTTGCAGTGACCCATTTCCTTTAAGAGTAATTACTAAACCAATTGAAGTTGCGTGTCGCAATCTAGCCACACAATAATTGCATCTCTCCTCAACACTCATTACACTTAAATTTTAGTCATGTCTCCGCTGTACATTATATCTGTCTGAGGAGTGATCTATTTTAACTGCTTGTTTGAAAATTCAAAGAATCATTTTAGGCAAATTCAACTGAACCGGTGAATTTGAAACTTCTAAACAGGCGCAAATACTGGGATTTCTGCATGGGAATTGCATTGCATATTGCCATGTAGGATATCGCTTGCGTACATCCTTTCAAGTTAATGGATATACGAAGTGCACTATTTGCTACGTTTTACGAAATTAGTCAATATTTTATGGTTGATTTTTAGCCGTTCGCAAGCCATCAATTGCTGTCCTCCAAGACATGGAGCATAAGCTCTTTCGCTGCTATGCGTAACTAATTTCAAATGACACCATAAACAAAGTAGCCTACACCAGTCAATCCTAGACGTAATAGTGATTTCACTGGAACATGCGCGGCACTCCCATTCATGATTTGTATCTAGACATATTTCACACGTCTGACACAGTGCACTCGACAATCACACTTCTAACCCAGCAGCTGGTAGAAAATTTGCATCGATTTCAATCATGCTCTCTGTAGTACTTTCTTGGTGCGTACTTACGAATACTCTAAACAACCCAAAGTATTTCAACTATAATTTTACCGGATATAGCATGCAATAGAAGAATCGCACTGCAAGATGACTATATGTATACACCGTTAGACCAATACGCTTAGTTTTGATGTACTTTAATAGAATAGTTCCCGATCCTGACTATTCTTAGTGCAACGCTACGCGCATAATCTCAGCCGCTAAGATGCTACGTGCCTGACTAATTGTTAGTCTTCAGTCTGTCCCTTCTTGCATATTACACACTAAAATCGCTGATGTCTAAGAAGGTTTGGTTTTTTCCGCTACTTTGTGAAGATTCTGTAGTGTTGACAATATAGTATTCAAGGTTTCTGAGGGCAAATGAAAGGCCAGTTCCTGTTCTCAAAGTTTGTAGTTCTTTCATCGACTTCCGCCTTGTCACCGCTGAAAGATTCGTCCGAAAACAAGCGCATTTTAAAGATTGCGACTATTATTGTGAATATTATTCATGCTTTCTACTAAAAGTTGTTTTTTCACGCTTTTTTGACAGATACTCGAGGAAGAGCACTTAGCTCAGAAAGCAGAACAGTTGGGACAACGTTTCAGAGCAGAGTTGACAAAACTACCAACTTCAGTAGTTAAAGCACACAGAGGAAAAGGTCTACTGAATGCCATCCTCATAACAGAGAATAAGGGTAATGCGCCTTTTACGGTAGCTTGCATAATTCACACTGCACCAACTTTCCGCCACTAGTAATGCGTTTATTGCTATCTGCTTATGACCACGTAACTGCTTGAGGTTTCTTGTAGATGACAGCAAACTTCGGTCACTTGATCTCAATAATTCACAGAAAAAATGAACAAAGGATTATAATGAGTAATGAAGCAATTGCTTGACAGGTCTCGTAGAACAGCCGAGGTAAAACTACCATATCAAAAGACTTGTACCTTATCTATTTAAACAGGTATCGGGTAAATACGCCGTTAAATAATAGTAGTGTCGAATGAGAATGGTATGCAAACAACAAGACAAACTGGGAGCAGTTATAGCTGATGTGCTCCGTAAGAAAACTTAACACAAGGATACTCACTTACGTACAGCCCCGTAGGTCTATGTGACACATAAATCCGATGGATATCAAAACACTGAAGATTATAAATATAATATATATATATATATATATATATATATATATATATATAAAGGTGAATTTTAGTACACCGGATTCCATAGTCAAGAACTGTAATTATATGCCCAAACCTTCCAAGGTTGTTGCAAAATACGCCATTATGACAATAACTTATGTTTTGTTTCGGGAGATTCGTCACGGCTACACTCTTAGAGATAGCAGTTACACATCTAGAAGAGACCTGAACGACGTTCTATTCCTTGGAGACCCGCCAAAAGTGCACATTACAAACGCCCTATGAGGGACTAAGACCTGTGATTACACATCGAAGCCAGTGTTTTAGTCCAAACGGCTGTAGAAATAATCGGCAGGTGTTGTGCCTCATTAACCACCTGTGATATAGCGCGTATGTTTATCATGAGCTGCAGTACACATTTATAATCCGCGGAGTCCAGCCTTAGCCTCCAGAGACACGAATTCTCTTCCTAAGCGGCCATCGTCCGACTGCCTTATAAGTTACATTGGGCCATTACCTAGTTCTAGAGACTAGCGAAAAGAATTAGGTTAACTGTAAAGGGAAAGCAGTCACAGCTATCCACGGCGTCCTGTAAAATGGGTCATTGATAAGTCCATCCCTCCCTAGCGCCTTATTTGAATCGTTATGGTGATTTGGGGTTATTACTGGTTTATACCAACTTTGTGATGGTGAAAAACTTGTGCATATATCTGTGACAGCAGATTAGCGGAACTCGTGTGGATCTAGTGCGGTCAATTAAGATCTGCTGAACTTTGCTGCACTGATGTGGAGACATTCGTCGTAGAATAATTTTTGTTATCATGTTCCCTCTGTTGGGCTAAGGACAGTACACTTTGACGACCTCTCGCCAATTGTGTCCGGATTTGCGCACTTTGAAGTTAACCTAGCTGGCATAGCTTCCGTTAAAAAATAACGCTGGGGATATGGGGTATTTCTCCCAATTCACTGTCCAACAGTCAATCCAAGTCCGTTCAAGCTAGGCTTCACAAACCAAAAGTTTCAATATTTTGCTGCTGTTGGCTGCTGCTGAGCCGAACTAATCTCCTTAAGAAGCGAAAGTTTTGTAAGTGCAAAAACCTTTAGTGATGTTGCTCTAGTAAGCAATCCTACATCACACAGATGACTTTTATGGAACAATGAATCGGTGTGACTGGTTCAGTCACACATTTATGGCACAATGCAGTTCAAGAAACGAAACTTTAGAGCTGGGGCGACTAGAACGACTCCAGAGAGATACCGGTAAACCATCTTGCAAGAACTGAGAGCAGTTATTTAAAACCATGAAAGAAACCTTTTCGCTTTTATCGGAACGGTTACTGATAAGCAACTCAACACGACACTCCCTAGGCAATCCATTTCCCAGTAGTTATGAAACATTATGGGAGCTACATCGCAGATGAATCGGAAAACAATTGAATTCAGGAAATGTTGCTTCACATAGGTTCACAAAACTGGTGTTTTTAACAAGTTCGCAGCAAGGTTCTCACGAAGGCAACGGTAATGTCACACTTCACTTGTAGGATGGAGTGAAGGGTACGCGGAACAGTTTGAATAACTAACAGGGCATGCCATGCATACTACCCCATTTAGGTAAATTGATATTGGCCAGAGTACAGAGTTTATCATACCATATGACAGTTGATTATTTTGGCATGATGATTATATCTACCCCATAGTGCATATTCTATTCCTTCATACCGATGCACTAATTTTCAGGATACAACGCCTGGGACGTGTGCTTGAAACTTCGCGATAGAGGCTTACTGGCAAAGCCAACACACGACACAATCATTCGACTTGCACCTCCCTTGTGTATCTCTGATGAAGAATTGACCAAGTCACTAGAAATTTTACACGATGTGATCAACTCCATTGCAGAATAATCTTTAATTTTTTTATTTCTATCCTTTCTCTATATTGGTACAGTATCACTATACATTTCAAAGATCCACCTTCGCGAATCACAGATTTGACTCTTTTTCCTTCTTCCTACTTTGCTACAACCATTAACATGATGCACAGAGCTAAACGCTTTTGGCTGTTGTCAGATTTCACCACAATATTGATCATAAATGTGTGCTATGTCACTACGTCTTCTGGGCTAATAGAAGAGTGGATATACTGAGTGTACTCGACAAGTGCACGCAAGGTACAGTTAATACTGCAGTCAAAACCGCTTGAAATAAATTTAACTTGAAATTTGAAATTTCTCCTTTATAGAAATACACATATTGCTTCTCGGGCTTTATCCTCCACTACCTCTTAACTTGATCACCGGTTGACAGCTCTGATTCTCCACCTCCGAAATTCCATCCATTTCATCTTAAGTACGGTATAAGCCTGCTGGTGAAATAGTCAATTTATATTGGGCTCTGCTTCTTCGAACAACTGTATGCATTACTTTAAAATCACTGCGGCCGATCTACCTCAAAATGGCTAAACTCCCTGCCATAGCCATCGTCCGACGACTTTTCTTGTGCGACCATACTAATGCCATAACCGCTTGGGTAAAAGTGGGCACCGCGACACGCAGTATCAGTGGGTACATTGTGCGGGGGCACCAGAGTCTGCACGATTTCTCTGGTAGTATATCCGGTGATGTGACCTAGTCGATTATAAACAAGGATGCCCGGACGTATGAACAAGACCAGGGATGGCGGAGCTGTTACAGATCACAACCGAAAATGTCGTGCTTTAGTTAAGATTCAACACACTTTCCGGAGGAAAACTGATGGTGTGGTACGGTTCACAAAGTGCTTTGTTACTTCTGAAGTTTCTTTACGTAGACGTCGTTAGGTGAGCATGATTGCTGTTGTCAGAAGACTTGTCGATACACTGTTTAGTCAATTTGGAGGTACTTTAGAACCACGGTACACCGGAGACGGAAACCACTCGTCGAAGTACCGGCGGTTACCGAGTTCTAGAATAAGATCAACGGGACTTGGTGCTGTTACACGCCAGTCTGATAAAGATGGACAACTATGGCTGGCCTGAGGTGCTTACCTTCTTGCAGGGAGAAAAATCCCCGTGGTCTGTACTCGAGCGACCAATTATTGCTAGGATTTTCACCGGGTATTTTACTGATATATTTAACGGCACCAAACGTTTCGGTCCTTCATCTCATAGTCTTCAGATGCAGACTCTAAGGACCACAGCTTACAAAAGTTGTGCTGGCGCAACTCTTCAAAAACACTTGAAACAAATGGTTGTGTACTAGAAAACTACCTTGAAGAAAACCATAAGCAGTTCATTCGTCACGGCAGAACTTATACAACCGTTAAAATAATGAAGGGACGACGCACGGCATAATATTTGGGTGCAAGTCCTTTTGGTCTTACGCATTATTTAACTTCCCACCAAACTTCTCTAGCCGAATGAGTGATAGCGTGTGATACGCAGGTTCGTCCACGTATATGGACCAAAATATGAGCGCACTACAACTGGTTCACTAAAAGTACAGGACATATTTCGATGGCATGGAAGTCAACAACTTTATCTGGGCCTTGCGTAAATCGAGTTCAACCGACTGCCGCATTCAAACGATATCCCAACGGTTTCCGCACTGTGGAACCTGGATATTCCATCAAAAACCGTGCTTTGGGGATAAAACAAAGCAATTGAAGTTTAGCATCTGCTTATTTTATTCCCCTTCAAAAGCAGAATCACTCACTTCTAGTATACAGCGAAGCGCTGTATAGCACAAAGGGGGACAGTGTTATTAGCCACAAACTGCCCTGTGTCACTAGTTAAAGATACCAATGGGCACAAGTGTACTTTTATTCCTGCCTTGCTTAAGATACAGGCTAAATTATCAACCGTGAAACCACACCTGTTCATGTGTATTCCTTGAAAATCGATCGGCTGGCTAGCCGAACAAACTCGTGCTGCCAGCTGAGTGGTTCGGGTTTAACCCGTTCCAGCAAATAGTTCGGCGGAAGTGTTCAAAGATGTGGTGGTGCGTTCTCCATATAAGAAGCCACAAATGTCTGCTTAATGGTCGTGATTCGTCACAAAATAAATTCACTGCCCCGTGGATAGCTGGATAATACTTTCCAACCCACGGACACCAATCTACTCGCACATTACTGGCGATATCAAACAGTAAAGAATGGAGCAGCACAATTACAAGCACAAACTACACAGCTATATACACACACAATTAGATACTTACATACCCCTCCGCACACAAACATACACTGTTATTGCAAATATATCGAATTTTTCCACATTCTTGATCACGCACTTTTATGTCAAAATGATCATGCCTGTAAAGGCGTGTCTCGCCTTGTCGAGAACAAAAGCTTTATTTATTTGAAACAATTAGATCCCTTTAGTAATTTGAATAATGCCGTAAGAAGACGAACACTGGCAGATGTCAACATTTCGTATTGTCTCTTCAGTGCCAACACAATAACATGAAAATATATGACGACAGGTAGGGTGAGACCGGAAAAAGTTAGAACAGGGTAGAGGGGCAAGCGTGACACCCCTAAGCCTAGGGCAGCCGTAGGCTTACGAACAGCTGTTTCTGCACACAGAGTGCAGGTTTGATACGGCTGATCGCGATTGCCTCTTCAAAACGTAGGAAACGGACGTTAGCATGTCTTAACACGATCGTAAACTTTTGGCCGGATCAAACTGGGGACAGGTGGCCAGTAAATGCCTACCTATGGAGGAAGCAGGTGGTTTACGTGAACAGGTGGTATGAGCAACCGACGACTGGGTGATTTGACGCTGCAACCATTTAGGTACATGTTCCCTTATTCTGGAATTCAACGATCGATTGGTACGGCCATTGTAGTGTGTACCACAACTACAAGTAAATTGGTAAATACGATGTGAGTTGGCGCCAATAGGTTGTCTTTCCATCATTGGGGTAACAGGTATTCGATTAGTCCGGTTGATAAGGACAGTTTCGGCAGCATAATAAGTCCTCTGGACTGCGGAAGTTATGCGCTTCATTGTCCTCATATTGCCAAAATCTCCCTTAAATGGTAGCTCTATGTAGATCTTCTTTCTAGGTCAGGGCAGTACCTGCACTTTACCAACTTCTCCCCAATGCGGTACAAGCGGACCTTAGTCAAGGCGCTATTCAACCGTGCAAGGAAAATATGTACTACCGACAGTTTAGACGATGAGATAAACTCGCTCTAGGATACGCTGTTGAGAAATGGCTATCCAAGTAGATTCATCGACAAACATAGTCAGGCGAGTGTGCCTGGTCAGAAGGTTTCAACAGTGTCTAAAAAGAAGGTTGTTTGTTTCGAACGTCAGGTAAACATTAGAATTTGACTGAACTGCGTCTCAAATGTATCATGGTCCTGACTGTTACGCATCGAAATACATTCACACAACCGATACATCGAAATGACCTCTTAATTTAACAAGTGCTTGTATACAAACTTGTCTGGCCAAGCTTGACACAAGCGGAAATCACCTGTTGTATACGCAATGAAAGTTTCACGGTAAACTCAAACCTTTTAAATATCACCTAAAATAAATAGCATAAATTGCGTAGCCTGGAAAAGTGTTTCAGTCTGACTAGGAAGCGTCTCATCATCCATGGTTTCCGAAGGCCCTGAATTCCTCTTATGAAAAGAGTACACTGATTTTCGAGTGGGGTTTATATATTTCATCGGTGCCTCTGCGTTCTTAGCCTTGGTAGAGTAAGGTAGTAGAGCACGCATGTGATTCCGTATCAGACTTAGTCAGTTTAATGGGTTTAGACATGCTAATGAATCGATCCAATTTCCGCTACATGATGAAATCCTAAAATTGAATGGACACGTCATACGCATAACCCAAAGAGATCAGTCACTCTGCAATGACCGGAATTTCAGATAGCCATCATTTTGTGCCCTCACGTCAAACAGATAGCATTCAACGCTAGTAGAGTAAAGTAGGATGCGTACCATCGCTTAAATTTGAAAAATATTTGTAAATCTACGGAAGCCGGTAGTGAGTTAACGAGTAACCAATAAACGCTATCCACAAACTCGTCAGGCAAAAGGAAGCCAATAGTGAATCTTCAGCTGACGCGCAGTTGGTGCGTTCAACAAATTGCGACCTAAGAATCATAAGTGAGATAGAGGAAATCCCATGTATTCAAGTCGTAAAATATTTGTAACTTCGTTCCACTGAGTGAGGATCTAGCTAGTGGCTAGCCTAAGTAATGAGCTGAAACCTAGTGATTTAAAATAGCACAGGCAATGTATGGAGTTCGTGCGCATGGGTGACGCGTGATAAAATCCGTGATGGTAAAACTTGCTTATACGGAATCAGTTGGATAGGAAATATTGTTGTATAAGAACAATGTACTGCCGGTATCACAACAGCATTCGCATTAATAGAGTGGTCCTCAAGATGACTTTCTATAGAGGCACCTCGAGATAAGCATGTTTGAATCATTGCATAGAAAAATTTGTGCATTTTGTAGGGTTGCTTCTGATTTGGTTACCTGGAAACAATGTAGTGTCATCAACATCAGTACACGTTAGTTAAGGGTGAGAGACACACTTCAGCTAATGTGCCGCAATACAAAAAGATAAGAGACTAAACAACTGCGCTACAAATTATAAAAATTACACTACAACATATATAAAGTTTATATAAGGAGGACAGCTATTAGACATTCATTTATTGTGAACCAGCATCATAGCTATTCTGTACTCTTCTTATTTTCTATTTCTTAACTGTTGTTTAAAAGCTCTACTGGGTTAGCCCAATTGGTACATCCACGTCATTGTTAATGGACGCTCATCGTCATGTCCTTCTCAGCAGCGCCATTTTCAAGAACATATTCTATTGGTTTTTTCCTCATCACTGTTCTACTTGGTTATGTCAAAGGAATATTTAGTTGTCACACAATTATTATACTAGTTTT